TGGATTACATGCTTTACAATCTTGATAAATGTTTTTGCAAATGCAGCATGTGACTGACGGGGGTTCATTTTTGCCTGTAGCAAAACCTAGCAATTACCTGCTGCTGCGGTTGTTCGTGACCCACAACCTCCTCTTCTTGGGACAGCAGTGGCTGCGGTCCACATTGCTTCTCATGCACAAAAAACAATGCTGTGGTTGACACAAAACTCCTGGACACAACTTCCTTTTTTCAGTTTCCCAATGATTCTTCCTCGCGTAAAGTCACCCTAGTGTTGTCTCTGAGACTTGATGTAATCAAGAACACCACTACATTCCACAGTCACTTCTCCCTGCTTAGTTCACCCCTCTTGTCCTGCCCCACGATACCCATCGTTCTGGGTGGCCACCCCATTTAGGCTCCAGATTGAAGCCGGATGCAAGACATATGAGGCCCACTTCGGTGCCCATGACTGTAGGGCTTCTAGCATTATGCCCGTACAGTTTCATCCAATTCCATCTAATTGTTAATAAGTTAGGACAATTTATCTATCTCGTCCTTAAGTTTTGCACACCAGTGTAGTTAGGGGTGAACCCTTAAGTGCAAAAAAGCTGTGTACGTTAGAGCCCTTGCCTCAGCAAAGCAGTCAACGTACCATTTAGCACTCCACCCGCCTTCGAAGCACAATCTGCATTTGTTGAGCTCACTCTGTGCTATCTGACTTTTGGATAGATATTGCGAACATAAAATCTCCCAAAGCCTGCTAGTTCCGGATTTATTATAAATCCTAATGAATGGCAAATACTCCCAACCAACGATTTTTTTACTTAGTGGTTCCTACGATGATAACCAGAAGAAGAATAGTAAGTTCTGCTCATGAGTATTTCGTTTGGTTCACGTACAAGGTACAGGACTAAGCAGTCCATGCACTTTCCTACAAAATGTGTCCAGCATTTATTGTGAGAGATTGATCATGTATGAGGCTATAAAGAATTACTCATTTCCTAGACTAGCGTCAAAAATGTTACCTTGTCCCTAAGCGCTCCGTCAGCAAACCACATCATGAGCTTCTCGAATATAATGGTAGGATTATGGATGAAGACCCTGTAGGTGAGGAGAAAATCATCAACATAGTGTGGATCCACATTACTGTCGCGGTCATCCACTAGATGCTGTATCAATTTGTCCGGCTAAACACGTAAATTAAGCCCATAGTTGCAACTAAAGCCAAAAACTGAAAGTCAAAAACAAACCTTGCCCTTGATAAGAACAAGGCCAACTTGGCTTCCTACAGTTCTTCTTTCAGTCTCTGACACAACTTCGCCTGTCAATCCATCTCGATCCTTCTCGATATGCTCACTAATGGTCGACATAATTGAACAAAAATCCTGAAATTAATGAAGATCGAAAATAACCAAGTACTCATGCTTATTTAAAGGCACTCAGAACATGCTCTACTTCCAAATCTTCAGTTCAAATGTTAAAGATCAGGCAGCCTTCATAATCCACCATCTCTTACCTTGTGTTCAACTAACACAAATTCGCAGTCGTCAACTATTGTGCGCATTTCCCCAACATGATATTGAACTGCTGGATTTGGTTCAGCACCAAACGAGTCGCCTAATTTGTACTCAACCCTTTCACCGTTCGGTTTCACCACCTCGACGAGACCATTGACAATGACGGACCTATAACACCAAACATGAGATACAGCGCTCTTGTTGCATACTTTCGCCTAAGTAGAGAGAATAATTTCATATGATAGAGCCTCTAGACATAACCAAAGGCAAACTGACCATGCGTCGAGTTTTTCGTTATGATGCATTACCACAGTACCAGCATCGTTCACTACAGCAAATACCATCTTCAAGCACAGCTGCCTTTTTATAGACATAGGAAGAGAAGCAAATGATGACATGTGTTGCATGAAATCCTAAAAATTTCTATACGGTTTAATTGTTTTTATCCAAAAGATCTTGAAAAACATACCAGAAGAACAGCCAAATCTTCTGCATTACGTTCGCTAGGCTCCTTTTCTAGACATTCACGAACAGAGTCCTTCAAATCAACAAAACTTTCATGAGAGGGACAAGAACCATCATCGTCCTCCTCTTCTGACTCTACTCCATCCACTCCTGCACTACCACTGGCGTCGTCGCCCTCCGTAGTTGTTGATGAGGCAGGGTGGGTGTCAGGATCGTACAAATATAAGAATTTTATGATGGGATCACAAGTACATGGAACGTAATCGCTACCTTCTGACGGAAGACGACGAGCTGCGCGTTAGCCACGTAACTCATCATGAATATGCGCTTTTTTCTACACTACGCGTAGTTTTACACTGAAGACCAAGGTCATCCTTAGTTCCAGACACTAAACCGTTTCAGGATTACCTTGAAAAACGCATGAAATAATTATACAGTTAGTAAGCACTATAAGCAAATCTGTTAGAGCTGAAAAATATAAAATAGGTAAAGCGTGTTATATTAAAGCGTCTTACCTGACTTCTGTGGTTTTCTGTACAGGAGGAATATGATGACGTCGAGGGGATATCGATGGGAAATTCAACGGGATATGACCTAATGAAACCAAAAATTCATGAACATGGTCACATTTATAAGACCTCCTACATGAAATCTCAAAAACGCAGTTACCTCGCAGCCCTAGGAACTGGAGCAGCCGCGTCCGAGCCGGCGGCAGACGGGGTGGTCGAGGAGGAACAGGAGGAGGTGGCATAGCACGAGTATCTGCATCCATGCAGTGTACGCTTTTGCGCATCTGCTTCAGATGCGGAGAAGATGGTGCCGCAATAACCGGTACGTCAGGATAGTCTATGGAAAGTCATTCCTATGTAAAAAGAAGCAATTCTGCCATTGCCATTTCTCATACAACAGGGAACAATCTGAAATTCGTCGTGTACATATCGAAACTTAAGCAACATAGAGTAAAAATAACTACGCCTGTTATAGTAAACAGCAATTTTACTTAGCTCAGTGATTAAGAGGAGGGAATTGTTCATGAAAAGAAATGGCACCATGACATCGAACGTAATCTCCTCACCAGAAAAGCTTTCTCGGACACCCACTCCAGACAATACCTCTTAGCTGGCCTTCACAGCAGTGAATTTCATTTGGCCACGCTAATTACTCTTTGAAGTAGAATGGCAGCAGAATAGCAGCAAACAACGGGATAAGAGTAGACCAAGGTTGAGCGTGATAAATATGACTAGGATTTAAGAATTTATTTTACCACCAAAGAAATAAATCGTGACTGTTTTGAAAAACGGAGCAATAGTTGGGAGAAGTTTCTTTGAAAAGCTTCGATTTCCCACCGATAGCATTAATTGTGTATTTATCATTCAGAGTCATTTCATGATCCATCCTTTGATAAGGATAAATTGAAAAAGCTGCGGGTGATGATGGAAAAGAAAGACTCACCGCATCCCTGGGAGACTTAAATGGACGCGTGACTTCAACCACATTAACTGCATACAACGGTCGGCAATCGTAGTGAGCTGTAACTTTCGTCGAGAACAATTCAAAACGAGATATCACACTTGAACAAATTCTATCAAAAATGCTCACATATTTCACTCAGAAGATTTTTCAGAACATACTTCAATTGGAATCTACAGTTTAAGTACACATCATCCGCTGACTATCTGGAGTGTTTTCCTTTTCTGTTATGAGTAGATGTGCAAAACCAAACTGAAAATCTCTTTTCGGTTACAATGCCTTATACTAAGTCTACCCGTCTTGAGAATACATTTGATCCTTGTCTTGATATGGAACCTTGGTTCGCCTGCAAAGTAGGTAGAAAGAATCTCGTATCAATCAAAAGCTGATCTTCCTTGCCGATGGATGGGTTGGATTCTAGTCCATCATAAGAGTTTCATCTGCGCTAGCGATGTCTGTCCAATCACTTCAATTGTGTGCTCAGCAGATCATCTAAACGAACAGCATAATTTTTATGTTCGATACGATATGGATTCAGATCTGGAGCAGAACATTGGTTCATATCCAGAATGAGCAAAGAAAATTGCACTTTTGGTTTGTGCTCTCCCGATTTGGAGAGTGGCTCCAACTTCATTGTAGCAAACTTGGCATCTTTTTTTTTCATATTTCAAAAGAATGGCGGTTCCCAAGAATGGCCAAATTGATTTTAGCGCAGAGACAGCCTCTCGCAACATTGCGCAATTCTAGTAAATTACGACAGCTTGCCCTTTCGAGTCACCCATGGACTCCTCTGAGACGCATAAATCCAAGTTTAAATTAAGCAATCTCAACCCCAAATCAAATTCTTCGCTCATAAGCAAGCAAAGTCCAATTCCCTTATCAAACACTGTTATTCGGAGACATGAGACTGTGTGAGACATATGCTGAGGACCACAAATGAGCGTAAGGAAGGCGAAACTGGCATTCATGTTGTATTATTTCAATCTTTGTCATAACACACGGCCGAGAAAAAAGAATGAAGATCTGTGATTGTGGATCAGGGGGCATGCATCACATATCTAAGTTGAGTGCACGAGTGAGAAGGAAGCGCGAGGATGCGAAATTGCATTGTGTCGGTTTGGGCGTCGTGGCAGTGCTTCGGTCAAGCAATCAAGTAAGGTCGGGATATCATACTCGGACTGGCAGAACACTAGAAGAGCGAATATTATTAGGGAAATCGCAACAGCTACTCTGCAAACAGGATGAACGTATTACTTTTTATATGACCGGTCTTCCTTAGTCCCCCAGAAACATACAAAAAGCTATATTTTTGTTTACTGCTAGTTTTCCCCATAGTACACAATGCGAAGGCTATTAATAATAAAAAAAAAAACAAAAAAGTACTCATATTAAATGGGAATGATCAAATTGAGTTGATCTAGAGACAAAATGAAGCCATGAGTGCAATGGGTAGCTAATGAATTATGAGGCAGAGCTTGCGTATAGAAAGATATTACTCTATTCAGTCAACGGATGTTATAGACTTTAGGCTAATAGTAAGTTAGAGGAAGCTCGCACTGAGCACTCCTCTTTTGTGCTCCACTAAATGTGAGGACAACTACGAGCTCTTCAGAAGCTTGAGAAAAAACTCTTTTGACTTCTCTTGCTGTTGTACGCTTTCGACAAACTCTCGGTTTTAATCCTTATTCCCTGCTAGCACCTTCGTGCACTTAGTTATAACTTGCTCTAACTTGGCTGCAAAAGAAATTGGCACTGTATAAGTCTATTAATCTAATTAGCTTCGCAACGGAAGATTTCTTTCTTTTCTCTTTAACCAACCGAGTTAGCTCATGCTTCACTGCACACTTTCACTTTCAGTATCTCTTTCTGTGCCTAGCCTTTCTCTGAAGCTTCGAGAAAGTCATAAATATTAGTTGTCGAAAAAGTTTTTCACCATTTTAAGCTGAATGTTGCAAGTCTCTGAGATTTTTTCTGAAACATCCATGTAATCTGGTCATCATGCTAAACCAAATGACCATCTTCTGCAACTGTTTGGAAAGAATCGTCAGTGCAATGCTCGTGAAGTGGCAGAGCTTTCCCAAGCCATCAGGGCACGACATCTTTTCCTATATATCGCTTCAAAAAGGGGAGAAACTGTGGCAAAAGGGACCCCCAGTCTTTGTGACCACCAGCCCTAACGGCGAAGAAATTCTGCATGAGCATTTCGATTTACCTGTTTCTTGTTCGAGAATTTTGTTGTCACTAATGAGAAACATTCATTTGAATCGCGCGTAAGCACCACTGAATCGGACAGAGACAGCCAGGGTTTTAACGCTGAGTTGACATATAATGGCAACCTGTGAGGCACTTTCGAGCTCATAAAGCTGCATGTGTTTCGTTCACGGTGAGCTGCTACCAACGAAGCATACTCTATTTTGGAATAATAATACAAGAATGGATGATTCGTCGGCACTACGCTTCAAAAAACACCTCATAAGGGACCTTCCGATCCACCTGTTGCGTTCAACAGACCTGTACCTCCTGACTTCATAATCGGGTGTCTCGAAGAGGACTTCTTTGAATTTTAGCCTCAAAGGCTAAGCATTCTTAATCAAACTGCATTCACAAGTCACCTGTTGAAAGACAGTACATCTCGATAACGGTGGCTCATATATTTGTTGACTGTGCTGAAGAAGAAAATTAAATTTAGAAAAAATGGGAAATGGTCAAAGACTTTTTCAACAGCCTAGTGGAAAACCCCCTTGTCAGCCTTGGCGAGTTATATATGGTAGGCGTGGTTGTTCGGACGAGATTCTCGAATGGCTAACTCCATGCAATTTGCTGCTCTCTACCAGCAATCAATGTGGTCATAGAATTAAACCCTTCAAAGCAGGAATGGGAATGCGCGACACTTACGAGCAACGCTGGCGATGCCAGAATTGCGGCCGCACTCTACTGGCACACCGACGTGCCGCCAACAGCGGAAGAAGGGATTGCGCACGTTGCGTGTATTGCCAATCGACCGAGCATCTAGCGCTTTCATTGCGCTTTTCAAGAACGATAATCAAACTTTTAAATTGAAATTCAAACAGTACTTCTGGCACAAAACTCAAAGAGCTGCGTGAAAACTAGGTGGATTAAGCTTAGATAGCGGCAATAACAGACGCTTCGATAAAATAGCCAAAAAAGTACTGTACGTTTCAGAAAGAAACACAAAGATCTCTGTAAAAAAAAAACTACATTAGGGACGTGTTTCTCGTGCAATTTTCCCTTCTATTACCAAAGATATGAAAATTTCGAATAAATCAAAACAATTTGTTGACGAGTTCCACATAAGATTTACATTTCTTTTTTTTTGAAAATGAATCAATTTCGAAATGAGACTACATCCAAAACATAGATGAAGGAAAATCTGAAGAATAAACCATCCATTTCATTCGAGCGAAGACCATACATACATATTACCGATGTTCAACACTACATACGTTACAAAGGGAGTCGCTCGCTCAGTCGGAAGTAAAGAAAATGAGTTTAATCTCGAGCAAAAATAACAACTAATCACATCAAATCCGTTCAGTGTGATGACTCACGTTGTAGCGGCTGTCAGCAAAATCAGCCCAGCGAATGTTCTTGCAAATGCAAAAAAAATACGAGCAGATTCATCAATCTGTTACCAAGAGCAAGCGGTGAGGGCGGGCATTATCACGAAACCACCATTACTACAAAACTATACTACACTTCCACTACTTTACTCGTGGGAGATTTACCGATGCTGATGGGTCGGAGCAAAAGCGGGAAACTGCTGCGCGTTCCCTTCCTCAAATTCCGGATACACGCCATTTGAGTCCCTGCGCCACAATATTTACGAGCCATCCACCTTCCCCCTCCCTCCACCCGATCCCTACTAACCCTACTAAAATTGAAAAGCCTCTTGAGGGAAGTTCTATGCTCGCATGATCTCTACACTCTGATCTAGCCGATGACCAATCCAGAAATTTTCGCAGTGGGTACTATTAATTTCTGAACGACTCAGTCTGAACGAAAATTCCTTCAGAGCTCCAGCTATTATGCTAGACAGTTGATTTAACAAACCAAAAACAATACACTTCACTGAAATATTGGAGATAAAAGGTTGAAATGATTGCAATGATCAACCCTTCCGAGATTAAATAAAGCCATGTTTGCTTGAACAATATAGACACCAAACTGATCGAACCAAAGGTATCACAACGTGTGGCACCGCTGTTGTTTTGTGACTGTACGAAATAAAAAAGGTGAGATAAAGCAATACGGCAAAAAGAGGTTGATTTTTATGGTCTAAACAGCGATTGTGAAACATAAGAA